TATATATATATATATATATAGCACATGTATGTAATCCAGTTTTCTTAATGAGCAAACATATATATATATATATATATATATATATATACGTATTAGCTACTGATGCTCAACTGATCCCTAGAGCGAGCAGAACCAACCGGATTACTCTCGCATGCAACAGGGAGAAATGGAAGATTTATTGGCGCCTGCTCGAGTCACTCAACGATAAGTGGGATGACAGGTGATACAGGTGACGTATACACTGACTTGCATATCCCACCCCTCTGGCAGTGGTTCGTCTTCTCCTTCATCACTTGTTTGAGTCCCTCCAGCAAAATTTGAACGCATTGCATTATCTATCTGAAATTGTCCATTATAGCTCTAAAATTTGCTCAAATAGTGAATTTTGCTGTAGTAAACATCTCTTAAAAGAAATCCGTAGGATTATCCACGCTAGTTTTTAAGTATTCTTTTCTTCGACAAATATAAAATAATTTTACTTTCCCGTCATCGGACGGTTTAATATTTCACTTTCATAGTGGTACATAATGTGAAAAAAAGATGAAGACATCTACAATGCTTAAAGACCTGCTTCAGACGTCACAAGAACGAAATGTTTTAGATAAGAGACCCCTACCCAAGGTGTAATAGAAAGAAAAGACAGAATAAGTTAAACAAAGTAACAAGCAAACTTTGTCCGCTTTTACAAGCAACCATATCACTTCGATGTCTATGAACTGCTAATTGCTAAGGTGTAACATACCGCTTCAAGTTGACTTCGCACCACATCTGGGCTAGAATTAGTCACCTGTCGTCTCCTCTCATAATCATCGCGACGTCTTCGTACTTCATCTTCGTTGCGCTCTCGTTCTCTGAACAACTGACTGTCTTTTAATTGTGAGCGGTATGTGTTGGCTTCACTTGCACGAGACCGCAGTAAAACATAAAATGAAGAGCAACATACTGCTTCGACACAATTTCTATTTCCCTCCAATTTCTAGTTTTTTGACATTGTGATTCTGAACTGAAGCATAAGGGTTAATACTACACAGGTATAGATATTCAACTATAACAAATTACAGGACTCATTTTTCCATAGGTGTGAATGTTACGCCACCCGGGAGTCTCATATTGATAGAATTTTGGCAACAATCGATATGAACTGTCAGGCTGCTTTGTTAACTAAGCATTGAAGCATGTCTCGGAATTCCATAAATTATAATTATTTACACAACTCCAAGAAAACTGAGTTTAAACATGCATGGCTGTTAAACTAGTAGCGCTACAACTGATTCATATGATACTTACACTCCATTCATTTGCGTTGGTCTGTCCCAGTGAGTAGTTCGTTGCAAATGATTAACATAGAATGTTCGACCATTTCCATCTTCACGTTGTTCCCAACCTGAAACAGATGAGTTTGTTCCTGAAAAAAAGAAAGACTTGAAAATAATCTTCACAGGTTTCTTTTGCAAAAAAAATCGAATACTAGGTGCTACAAAGTTTCTAGAATTCACCGAAAGAAGAACCACAGAAACACAGCACTCATCAAACGAAACCTCTCAGCATAATCAACTTCTCGTATCAAAAATATCATCACCAAGTATGATAACCCGCCAACGGTTTACCGCCTCACCATGGTTGGGAGGTGTTTCTAGATGTCGAGCTGCGACGTACATCGGGGGATTCGCCCCCCGGTAGGGTCTTCCAAGCTGAGGAGTTTCCCTTGAGAAACAGAGTTCAACGTTTCCATCAAGAAGCCCAGCTAAGAGTAAACTAATACCAAGATCCACCACCGTCCTGGCATCAAACTAGTTGCATGGTAGCAAATCTGCCTCTGATCCACAGGAGCGGCAGCTGTTATGGATGATCTGGGGCAGATTTTGGGCTGGTTGACCTCGATACTTCAGGAAAACACCATGGCTAAACCAGCAAAACTCCGAAAATGCTGGGATCCGCACAACAAGTGAGGACGAGCCGTCAAAATTTCCAAGTATCAAGGTAAAATGATAGCGTATACCTTCAGGCATAGTGTTGCTCTCCTGTATATCGATATTGGAATCGCTAGGCGATTGATCCGAAGGTAAATAATGCATTCCTATCCAAAGACTGCCGATATTCCTGAATTAAACCATACATTATGCATAGACTATTATGGGAACAGGGCTAGGTAATAACTGGTGATACCTATGTCGTCCTTTTAATGGGTACATACTAGGCAGGTTCGACTCCCTGCTGATGTTTTCAGTAGACAAATCAAATTCAACCGAACCAAGCAGTGCATCCTTGCGCTTAAAAGTACGTGTTTAAACAAAGATAATCTCTAAGACACAAAAATATTATCGTTTACCTAAACAGGAAACCATATGAACAACTACAACTAGAAGCAGTCTAAAAAGGAAAATCTCTAAAGCGAAAACTTCTCTAGTGAATTTCGTCATGGCGTAAAGAACGTACCCTTATGAACATAGGAGTTCGTCTCATTCATACAATTCACTTAGCAATGTAAAGTGCCAATTTACTTTTTTTATGGAGGTGAGCAAAATCGATACTGGGTCAAAGCTTACGATTTTGTTTTCATCGAAAATGAGAAACTTCAAGCAACACTGTCGCGTTACACGTAGGGTGATGATTGCGTTCCATACGGGATCTCTGGTCTGAAATTAAACAAACATATGAACGCATTACTCTGATGCTATCTGCAAATTTGCGGGTACAATTCAAAAAACAATCTTTAAGGGATCGAGATAATGGCTTGACGACAAAAAACCGATGCTCGAGAAAACGAAGGAGCTTCAGTGTACGCAGATGACTGCTATTTACTAGAAGTGTTGAATTAAAACTCGCTCTAATATATCTTCAAATCTTCACGGGGAGCCCATGAGTCCTAGACGCCTTAGTGTTCCATCTATCTTATCGCTTAATGGTCGCCATTTAAAATGAATTAGGACTGTATAAGTGGAGCCATCATACAGTCTACTACCCTAGGCAAATTCGCCTCAAGCACATCAAGCATAAGAAGTGAGAAGTGTAGCTTCCAGCAGAGGATAGCAGCAAGCGTAAAGTTACGGCCCATAACACGATAGATGGAGCCTGAACAAAACCGTATCCAATGGATACGAAACAATGTTGAGAGAGCGATCACGTTAAAGCATCTCAAGACCCAATTCAGTATGATTGGATTGCCCTTGAAGATGAGCTATGTATGTCCAGGACGACGCTACTGACCAAGCCTAACGACTCCAAGTTATACCCGAACTTGCTAACTCCGTAATTTAGTCCCTACCGTGTCGACAGTGTAGTCTTGGGTTTCAGACCGCGATTAAGACAGATTTATTCAAAGAAAACAAGTTCTTTGTTACTATCCACAATCAGGCTAGTAGGAAGCACATATGCCACCCCGTCGCAACCAGTCGACCCAGTAGCTATGCGACAACATGTTCTTCAGATAGTCAAGGTCACGCGACTATCTGTGTCAAGATCTTTCGAAATGTTCTGAACGGCGCTAACTGATGAAGAGTGGATTGGAAGCAGTACGCTTCCAAAAAAGAACCATCCAAGAAAACAATCGCTGTGGTGACTGGAAACTCAGTAGTTACCAGTTGGCTCTAAGAAATGTTGAATGATCATAAACAGCAAAAAATTTAGGATTACTTGCAAGTGATACGACTACTCTAAGCATAGAATTAACAATATGGGATGTGCCTACGAATCAAGCGCACGTGTGCAGTCTTTTAGCTTTATTTTCCGCTCTAGTTATGAACACGAGGTAAATAAAGTGACGGAACGGAGATCGTTTAGCACTTCTTTCGGAAAAAAGAATTTCGATGCAATATTCATTTCATTTAGTTCAAATGAAACCGATTTAGTTGCACGGGTGAAGGGTTCCATTATTCTGCGAACCTTCAAACAAGATTTTGACCGCTTTTAAAATGAACAGATAACTCGCAAATTGCAAATTTACATTATCGACTACCCGGAAGTTGCCCGGATGGGTCGTCCTGTACTGTTGGGTTCAAGATGGACTACCCCAGATGGGCTTCATGGAAAGTTGCATTTCACTATTACTTCTAACTGAAGCGATCAAAGGTACTCGTACATTTCTTATTTTGTCTTCTCCTACAAAATTCTTTATTTTAGAGCACTTCTTTTTTCGAAGAACCTCTATTTAGGTGTTCTGCTATCCCCTTTTTAAACAAAGAAATACAGCGCAGAGCGAAATTGGGTGGACGACTCGATGCTGTTCCAAAACAAATATATAGTTAAATATACAGAATATTGTTATGCAAAAATAAGTCTATCGAATTTTTTAAAAATTACCGAATTTTTGAGCAAACTATAATCTTTACAGACTTGTTCCTCTGTAAGAGTTCTTTTAGCGACAAATAGTCACAATAATAACTGAATATTCTAATTAACAGTACATCACCCCACAACGTATTCCGTGCTCGAATCCTGGCAGATAAAATCTTGCCATAACACCAAGTTACTTTATGGAACCTCAACTTCAACTATAGTCCAGGATAAAAACATAGCCCAAGGATATTCTAGGAACAGAAATTATTCGCTCCGTGAACGGCACACGTCAAAACCATTGCTAGTTTATTTACCATATAGAATCATTACTGGTCAAAATACCATTGAAGAGGGACTTAGTATGGGTATTTCCTACCTTCCTATGTCTTCGTAAGCATAAATGTGTCATGATTTCCATTAGTAAATAGAAAGATAAAGCTTTCAGCGTTGGTCAATCCCATAAGGATGCACCATGCATTCGAATTCATCAAGCACCGTCAGAGGGAACCAAATGCATATCTGACCTTCATAATGAATTCCAGTGGCTTACCGATGTATCATGTCAGTCCGCCCAGTTCTCTCCCAGACAATTTTGGTACCAATATTTCAATTCTGGAGAAACGAAAAATGGCTTGGTGAGTCCGCAGCACAGAATTGAGTTAAGGAGCACGAATGTATAGCAAGGCACCTCGAACCATTGCACTACACGCTCCCTTGATTTCCAGCAGCACAGACCAAAATGGGCAATTTGATAAGGACGTAACTCATATAAAGGCCATTCTCTACCGCGTAGAGATCTCATAAATCTAGTATTGATCAATAGAAATTTGACTGAACACGGCATAATATCTGACAACTATTAAATAAAATGGCGCAAAACAACGAATACAAATAAAGCGAACACGTGCTTTAGAGTCCCAATGTATAAAAAGTTGCCTCATATAGTAAACAGCTAAGTAATGATGAAGAACAATAGTGAACCACATACCTTTTTCTTCTTTTCGAGAGTGATTTCGTCGATTTGCTCGCCATCAGACTTCTCCAGCCGAACTACGCAATATGGACTGATGACGCCGAAGAGATCACGTTTACCGAGTCGTTCACCTTTCGTGACACGTACTCGCAACAATTCAGTCGCCTGAAACCGTAACGAAGTTTAGCCTAACGTCAAGGAACTTCATTAAAAGATCGGTACTGGGAATATGGAATCACTCAAAGAATATTCAATGACCACTTCAATTCGATTTAGACTGATTCATGAATCGGCGTGTTGTGTTGAGCTATGTTTTCACTGATCGCAGTCTTCTTAGCAGCTTTACGCAAGTCTTAAGATGAGATCAAAACCACATGTTGAGTAAGAAAAACACTAAGAGGCTTATCAAAAAATTCGCATTCTCTTGTAAAAGCAATGATTATTAAACTCGAATCAGTTAAAAATAACCTTAAAAAGCAGCAAATAACTGAAGTTTGTGTTCCACAAAAGCATTGGGAACTCACACAACATTCTCGTCCACTAGAGGATCTCTCCTCCCAACGGTTTACCGCCTCGTCGTGGCTAGGAGGTGTTCCAGGGCTGCGATATGCAGTGGAGGGATTCATCTCTCCGGCAAGGTTTCTCAAGCTCAGAAGAAGTCTTACGTTTCCACCAGGAAGCCCAGTTAAGAGTAAACCAATACCATGATCCACCACCGTCCTGGTATCAAAGTCGCATGGCTACGAATCTCCTTCTGATCAACAAGGGCTGCAACTGCCTGTGGTAGTAACGACCTGGGGCAGATCTTGGCCAGGCTGCCCTCGGGACTCTAGAGGACCACAGTGGCAAAATCAGCAAATTTCCGTAGAATGGGAATTATGCTGCGGCCCGCACGGCCAGCGTAGACGAGCCATCCAAGTATATTTAATGAAATAATCGTTCACGAACCAGAAAAAAAATAAAACGTCCTCTAACAGCCATTAGTGCCGCGAAAATTTAATTGGGTATAATTTATGAGTTTAAAAGCAAAATGAAAAAATAACCTTGGCAATTATGAGCTAAAAACTCCTGGCACCAAAAAAACAAGCCAGAAATTCAGTTCAAAAACGGTAAAACAACACCGTCTCGCATTGTTACTAAATACTACGGACTTGACCGAATACCGTAGTTTCTTTAACATAAACCAGTAGTTCTTTTATAAATTTTAAAAACCTTATTTGAATTCACTTCGAAAAATTTAAAGTTTGAAAAGAAGCGAAAAAATTAAAAGGAAAAAAAGTTTTAAGAGCGCTAAAGAAATGTCTTACCTCCGTTGTTGATCTATCGATGCCATGTATAACAGTTGCAACCATTGCCGATTGGTTAATACGAAGTGGCAATCAAGTAGAATACAGATACTTAGTCTGTCGATAATAAAGAAAAATTTTTGATCTATACAAGTCCAAAGTGTTGAACAGTAGTGTTAGTGAAATTGGGAAGAGATTCCGAGTGAAATTGGAACAATGCCAGGCCGCTTCTGTTCGTCAGTTAGGTGAGGAATGAAGATGTTGCTTAGCTATGATAAGGTAGTATAGTTATCGATATATTATAGGAACTGATCTGAATTTTCTGACATGCAAAATGTTCCGTTTATAGTTGGATCGATCACATTGAGTATTGATGACGACGATATCGATCCATAAACGTCATTAACCTGAAACTAACGGATTCTTCAAGTTGAATAGCGCTGAAAGAGAAATCCTTAATAACATCGTGGAAAAATGTTGTTAACGAAGAGAAAAAGTATGAATGAGAAAATAAGGAAGTTATAAAAGAGAGTAAACAACTGGCAAACAAAAAGTAAAGGATAAAAGATAAAGCTCTCGGCGTTGATCAATCTCTGAGGGGTGCGCCATGCATTCGACTTCATCGAGCATGGCTTTGGAGGTAACTGAATGCATATCTGGTCTTTACAATGACTCGCAGTGGCCTACCAATGTATCGAGCCAGTGCTGTTATCCTCCCAGACAAGTCCGGTACCAATTTGCCGACCTCGGAGGAATGAAAGGCCTGGTGAGCCACCGGGTGCCGGGATCGATCCCATGCAGGGCACCTCCACTACGCCACACACGCCCAAAGATGTAGTGCAGAGAAATATAAATATATAGGTGAAAGAGGACAATATAGGTAAAAAAAAATGTAAGTTAGCGGGGATTTTTCAATAGCTCATCTTCATAACTCATGCATGACTTCAACGTATTTAACGTGTTTGTCAATTTTTTTGTTCACTCTCTAAATTCTTCTATGGTGGTTGACCTTTTCCGATTACAATAAAGTCTACAACTACCACTTTGTAATATGCTGCACTGTTCATGAGCTTACATGAAGTCATTAACGAACTCGTTATTACGGCTAACGTTCAGGCTCCTTCGCTTTCGGAAGAGCCGACAATGATTCAAATCGGATGTCCACAACATTTCATGCGATGTAGGCTATGTGGTCCCATCCAATCGAACCTGTTCGTGAGGAGCACCCCACAAAATATATCAAAAAAAAAAAAAAAATTTAGTTGTTAATTAGTTGTTCTCAGCCGTGGCTAGAGCTTGATGGTCGACGAATACCCTAGACATTCATCAGTATGAAGATATTTCTTATGAAATGGTAAGGGGTAGTTGAAAGCGCTGCACATCTGTGCTTAATTTCCGAAGGAAGTGAGCTAGTGTTCTCAAGTTTGACCAGTCCATCCTTTGATCGACAAGCCCGGATATAACGGTACACATTTCGAAACTGTCGCACGCTTTTTTCCATGGTCACCAGTGGCTATGAAAAGGAACAGGTGCTATTTTTACAGCTTTCTATGCAATAACCACGATGTGGACGAAATCCGTATAGAAGCAATACTGAATCGTCATAGAATAACAAAATAGTTTCCATGAAGCTTGTACAGTACAGCCAACAACGTCACTGTGCTCAATATCCTTCCATGGTGGGAAGAGCAATCTTTTTGAAAATACATTGCCATGGAGCTTACAAGAAGTCACTCTAATTGGTGACTTCAATCTCGAAGGAGCTGGAGCTTAACACTGCTTTTTCCTAGACCCGTGCTTCACGCTCTTAATCCCATAATTACACTACTAAGGGTGAATTAATATTTGATTTTACCCTATGACGATTTTAGGACCTGCCAGAGGTGTTCCAGAAGGGAAATATTGGAGAACTTTTCTGTTATCAATTCCATATCGCAAGAGGTGACAGTAACCACATCTTCGTTGATCATGTCTGATGAATCTTTTCCTGATAAAACGAGTTAAAAGTTCCTTTTCCTACTAAATATCACTATTCTGGGTGGCGGTAGGGATATGATCCAAATTACTGGATTGTTTCGATACTCTTCGTGGAACAGCGCTTTATTTGGAGTTTTACCGCCCAGCAAGTTATGTATAGGAACGGTTCCAGCTAGAATGTCCCTCATGGAGGTGAAAGCGAGGCGCTACCTTTTCGGCAAAGATATAATCGGCCTCCAATCTAATGTTGACCTTCGACGTAACGTTGCCGCTGAAGTGTAAACAGAAATCTATGTGACGTATAGTGGATCTTTCTGTTTAGGTTTCGATCACGTTCAGTGCAATCCGAGATCAAATCACCTCTTACCGGTTGTCTTATTTACCTACGCCATAGATAAGTGACATAGAGTGGGGGTGACATTGGGATGGTGCATTTTTTCCTGAACCCTTAGTTTTCTCCCCCAGAGTCGCAAAGACAATCCAACAAAATTCCCTTGCATGCATATACTGGTTAGATTTTGTGCATTGTAAAAATGTTCATTGCCTAGAGTAGATTTCAAAGAAAGCAGCAGCAATCCTCGGCATTGATAACTTCTTCACTAGGCTTCTGGATAGAAATACCCAACAGCCAAGCTTGGGTGATCCTACTAAGGAGGTGCTCTAAACAGCAGTAGATCATTCAGAGAACATGACTTCTTAAAATAAGGCGGTCGTATTTAACGTTCGTGGCAAGGCCGGTCTTCTAAAAACTGACGGTAAATTTTTGGTCACCAGAGTAGTTAAGGAGTTGAGTAACCCAGAAACCTATGGAATGGACATTGATCTACTCTTTTGACGCTATATATGGTTTCAATAAACTTTCCCTTCCAATATATCCAGAACTAAAATTTTCGGTAGGACGAAAACAAAAGTTAAGTATTTAAAATCTACAACGCAAGCGGGTTGCCCACGTTCTCGGAAACACTACGTTCTCAGACGAAATCCCGCTGTTTCAATCGTTCAGCTATTCAAGGTAAAGACCTAAACAAAAAAAAGGGAGAGAGAATTTTTGGACTCCAAAAATTAGCAATTCATCTTAGCAGAACAAAAAATCTGTTTCTGGTTGAAAAGGATCTGTGAATTATATTGGTTTCTATTGAAATTAATAAACTTCACCTCAAGCGGAGATCTTCTGGTTTAAGCCCGTAAACGGTATTTTTGAATACCGTGCATTGAAAACAATGCATAGTTTTAGAGATGTTTTAGGTTAAATAACGGAGATTTGAAGCAAAAAGCAACAGTGATGATGCGCATAGTATAGTTAGGAAATGTTTACGGAAAATGAACTTCTCTGTGAATCATGTAAAGCAATTCACAAAATCACTTAATAAGTACTCTTTAACCGAAAGTGATCTTCAGAACCCAGCGAATTTATGAGGAATCATGCTTGCCAAAAACAGTTCTAAAAAACTTTGTACACATTAGTAAAGTGCTTGAGATATGAGTACCACATTGGTTGTGGTGCCACTTAGCAAGCTCATTCGACCCGCCCAGGGCATCGAAGCCAGCCCTCTCTCTGGAGCCAAGAAATCACCACCAGACTTCGATGAGAAGCTCCCGTCAATCCACAAACGCTAGTGACTACCTATGATGAAAACCTAGGAACGACCCAGAACGGCTATACCGATTACAGCATGAATTTACACCACCAGAACTCAACGATATTCGTGAAGAAGACCAAAAATCCACAAGCAGCAGCCGAATCCGGACGAAAATCTGAAGAGAAACGGGTCGAATGAAAGATATGCTGGAACCCACATGGTGTCTAATGTCATGGAGAACAAAAAATAATGAACAAAGCATTTTCTACACTTTAACATGGGTCAAATCACCAAATTCTAAACAGAACATGAGAGAAGTCAGATTTTAGCGAGAAATAGTCCAATAGACTAACAAATACCAAGGTTGTCAAATAATGAGTAAGAAATATGTTGATTATGCAAAAGATAATGAATCAATCAATACAACAGTTTTTGATTATTTACGCCGAGGTGAAATGAAGGTCGGTCTTTAGGGATATGTCAACGTCATGTGCTAGGTCTCCAAACGGTTTACCGCCTCATCGTGGCTGGTAGGTTTTCCTGGGTGTCGGATAGCGATGTACAGCGGGGGATTCATCCCCTGGCAGGGTTTCCCAAGCTGAGAAGTCCGGCATTTCCATCAGGAAGCCTAGCTAAGAGTAAACCAATACCAGGATTAACCACCATCCTGGTATCAAAGTCGCATGGTGGCAAATCTCCTCTGATCCACAAGGACTGCGACTGCTTATGGTGGTGAAGACCCGGGGCAGACTTTGGCCAGGTTGACCTCGGGATTCCAGGAAA